TTTTTCCTAGCCACCTAGTTCATTCTGAGAAACAAAGCAAAAATGAACTCACTGAAATAGGGTTTTTTTTAGGTCAGACACTATATTCTAATGTTATGGCTTTCAAAATTATTGAGGAGGCCAAGTATTTCTTTTCACCTGGAATTTGGTCACATTTGTAGTCAGAGAATATGAAATCCATTTTGAAGCTTGTTGCTCTTTCAGGTGTTTGTTCACAGGGAAATGCAGACTCCTTAGATCCAGAATGCTAGCTGCAAAAAAAGGAAGTGGTACACTATGTAAATGTTAGTCATTTTATCCTGTGTACACAGTTAGAGCTAGAGATTTTTTCACAGTGTCTAGGTAAACCAGCAGGACAGTGGCTTTTTATATCTGGGGTAGGATCTTCTGGTGTGAGAGGAAAAACATTGCTTTAGACTGCGCTATGGTTAGAAAGAAGCACCTTTTCTACAAAAGGCAGGTTACTAAAGCTGCCATTTACTCTGATACTTCAGATATTAGTTTGGACAACTACGTGCTTTTTGCTGTATGCTTTTCCACTTAGATAATGATTGTGTACTTTGGCATCTAGTCAGTGAGGTCGCTTTCACTAACCCAAGGTGACTTCTAGAGGCATGAACTCCAAGTATGAAGCTTTAAAAATATAACTGACTTCCAAACAAGGCCAAAATTGAAAAAAAATATTTGGAAAGTATGTTTGATATAATCAAAAGCATCCTCAAAGTCATTTTTGTATCATGCATACAAGAAGACACCTTACTGAAACCACTGCTTTCTTCTAGTGGGGTCAGTGCCTTGTACTTCTAAGCTGTATAAATGATGGACTGTGGTATTTTGCTGTTTAAAAGTATATGTCTTTCCTCTTCCACATACTTCTTAAACTATTGCCTTCTATCATTTGATATTCTAGTGTCAGTGTTAGGATCATTGGCAAAACCTTCTGGCAAGCTGCTTTTCTCCATACTCTCCCTATTTCTAATATTATCTTTTGCAGGTGGTATTTCTGAATCATAATACTCATCAGCTGCTGTCACCCTCTTGGTACACATGCTCGTGATCTCAGGCCCGAATTTCTCCATTGCTGTATTTAGTGGTCTTCCCAAATCTTTGCTTAATTTAGCTGAGAATATTTAGTAGGTCCGTATTTCTTTTTGTAGAGGAGGGTGAGGAGTGCTTTTTCCAGCAGTCACCTGGGATGTCTGAAAACACTGGTTCTAAACCACATAATCTTTCTCTCCCTTCAGGTGTCTCCATTTTTTCCTTCTGTCAGTGGTCCCTTCTGACCTGTACTTCTGAAATTCTCAATTTGACATTTAGTATCTTCACCTATAACATTCCCTTTTCTCTTCCATCTCTTTCACCCTTATCTGCCTGTACAGCATCCTCGCCACAGTTCACTTTAAATTTGCATTTCTAAATATCATACCCCTAACCTCAGCTATTTGGATCTTTCTTCCTTCCTCTTTTACTGGCTACATCTTAACATTTAAACTACATATCAAAGTCCCTTTTCCTCCTTTCCATGATTTGATGTCTGTTTCTGTTCTCCAAAACCAAATAATCATCTCTTCCTGGAGATAGCCAGATTTTTACTTTCTATTTTACTTGGCATATTTTCGTGATACCCTTAGGCCAAACATTAAGTAATGATTAAAAGTATATTGCTTTCTCTAAATATACCTCTTTGCCTTTTGTTTTCTCCCATCATTCTGTATTCTTAGTACTTTCAAGTCTTTCCTTTGTTTGAGCCTTACTGTTGCACTCCTGGTCACCAGCATGTATTTGATTTTTTTTTTATTTTTAAGCCTTTTATTGAAAAATAAAGCCACAAACAAAACTTTGTTACAATGTTGCATAAAATAAATCTGATTGAAAGCCAGCTCAGACATTAGCTGGTTTCTAGCATAGAATCGTCCAGGTTGGAAAAGACCTGTAAGATCATCAAGTCCAACCATATCAAGGTTTTAAATTTGAATTTACATTTTCATTGTTTATTTTCACTCTGATTTTTCCTATTTCAGTGGTTGCTGGTGATATTTTGAATATTTATGCCCTGTTTGTATTTGTACCCAGCCTGTATGGCCTGAGATCATGGAAGAAAGCAGGTAGATCATAACAACAGAGGAGTTAAAAGGTGAGGTCCTGATCCATTGAGATTTCCCTGCAGGAACTCAAGAAGAACTTGTAAGTCAGGTTAAGCAGAACTTTTATTCAAAATCAATATTCAGAGTCCTCTGAAAGTCCACATCTGTACACAAATTAGCCACAGAAATGGGTACAAGAGATAACACCACAGGTTATCTGAATGTAAGATGGCAAGAAATGGCCACCTATAATTCAGTTCCACTTCAGAATTAATTGATGGATATCAAATTTAGTGCTCTGAGAAAAAGTGGCAAAGAACGGCATATGGCACAGACAAACTTTACAATTCAAATTCTAGCAGAGGCAAACCCTCAATTTCCTGTGAGAGCTGAGGGTGAGCAGAGTCAGTGCATTATATGGCAAGTATATGCAGAGGAGCAGATGTGGCATACTGTAGGCATGTAACAGTGAGACAGAAAAGACAAGTTACAGGCAGACAGAGCTACAGGCTCTCAGCTCAGCTTGTTGAATGACTCTGAAGAACTGTCTATGCCCCATCAGAAGGGCTTTCCCTATGTGTCCCATTACCAACTGCTTTTTCCAGAATGCAAAAGAAATCCTCTTATGAACTGAAATTTAAGATTTGATAATTTGTTGTTAATTCAGTAATGTTGTGCTTCATCCCTTTTGTAGCACTTGGCATCAGAAAACAGAACCAAAAAAGCTAAAGCTGAAATAAATGCATAATGAAGCTTGTAGGTATTTATGCCCCATTCTCACCTGGTATTCACTCGGCCCATGTAGAGTTAGGTGCCCTAAATCATATAGCACCTTCGAAGATATTACGAAATCTAATTTAAAGCTAGCAACTTGCCCACTATAGCTAACAGTAGAGTATTCAGCAAACTTAATGAAACCACCTTGCAATTTCTTCCTACATATTCATGGTTAAACAGCTTTAGGGGGCTAAAAGGACTTTATCATTCCCTAGCAATACCTATACTATTATCTATACCCAGCCATAATACACATGTGCAACTCCAAACTTATATTCCTTTTTAAATGCCTGTATTCTTAATGTTGATCTGTTGAGGACTACTACTAGGATGGCAGATAGCATCCTGGACAATGAGATTATGTGAAATTTACATTAATGTAAGCTTCCTAAGGGATTATTTAGAATGGGGATTAGGGAGCTTTATGAATTTAAAATTTCATTCGATTTCTTCATCCTTTCACCTCATCACACAGAGGGGAGAACCCAGTGGCTCATAGGGGGTAGCATGATCATTTTGAACAGCCTTCTTTGTGGGGAGCTCTGCTATGCTCACCAGCATATTAGTCTGCAAGAATTAGGCGGAAATTTTGCAGCGTATGGAAAACAGCCCTTATGCTCCAGCCAGCAGGAGGTGGAACTGCTGCTCTTACTGGGATGACGATTCCTCAGGCAAGGTACGTATTTGTGAGATTACATCTTCCAAAAGCAGAAATGCAGGTACTGGTTTGCTTTTCATCATTCACCTCCACTCTCCTTCCTGTCTGCCATGCCAGCTCCTCAGAGATTACACATGCCTTGTCAGCTGCCTACCTGATCCAGTCACTACCCCAGTTTGGAAAACTGGGATAGTTCTGTACCATCCACCCGCCTGGTTCATGGGCTTTAAATATAGGCATCTTTTTGCTTTTTTTTTTTTTTTTTTTGAGTACCAAATGTCTGCATTCTTTAAAAGCATTTCCAGCTCTAATGGGAAAAGAATGAGTTGTGGACCTCAAAGGAACCCCACATTTCTCTCTCTCTGTGGTGACAGAACTGACAGAATTTAGATGATGGAGTGATCTGCCCTTACTGACTTCCAGGGGGGTTGTAGACTCAGGCTGTGTGTGGACTGACCTTTGCAGACATGGTACAAGACTCAAACCTTCAAAATTAAGTACTTAGGATCAAAACGGATTAACAGAGGAATTATACATTCACTTCCAGGAAGCCTCTATTTCCTGTAGCATCATATCTACAATTCTTTCCATTGTGGGTTTCATTACCAGTCATTTACATTGATCGACCTCTTTTACTCCTGATGCATTTGCCTGTAACTGGATGAATGCCAATTCTCACAGGAGTTTAATACTGCTTACGCCCTACACAGGGTACACCCAAGTGTAAAAATGGTGCCTTCTGACAGTAGACTGATCTTCAGAGAGCAGCATATAGGCAATGTAGCTGCCTGCCTGACCCAAGAGCTTCTTACTTCACACCACACTTGGTGCACCTACACTCTGGCATGGGGGTGCAACTGTGGCATGGATAGGTACACAGAAAAGGAGGCATAGGAATCAAAGGGTATCGTTTGTTATTCTGCTATTAGGATATGCAACTGGGCTGCTAGCCCATACTGAAGTGTCTTTCACTGTTGCAGCTCTCTACAGCAAGCAAATGAGAGATACCTAATAAGGTAGGCTGACTTGCACTGCTATCACAGATACTGCTCAAAACATGGATTCACCTAAAAAACAGCTTCAGCTCATCTAACCCAGCTGTTTTGAAAGGATTTCTCCCCATGCCAGAATCAAGCAGGCTGAAAAACACATAGACAGTTGCTTGTATTTTGGCAAACTCAACATTTCTACAATTTATACAAATTCATGAGGTTTTGGTAAGTGACATTTTGCAAGCTCAGCACTTGTACAACATACAGTTTTAAGGCTTTACTAAGTGACAGCTATATTGCTACTTAAATACAAAGCTGTTATGTATAGTCAGACAAAATTAAGTGAATAAACACATAAACTTACTTTAACCATCTAATAAAATGGCATTGTTTCTCATGGGGAATGAAGAAAAGCATATCTCAGAGAGAAACCAAACATAAAAGTAGCAGAAAAGCCACAAGGCACAATTTCTGATCACCATTTTTCTCTGGGGTAGCTTTGCAGCACTACAGTCAGCTCTACTAAGTTGAAAGTTTGATTTAAACACAGGGTGCTGAGAAGTGGGGCTTCCTGCCACATAGCCCAGCATATCCCTCTGTGGGTTGTAAATGGTGGCATTTTGGATTAATATCACACAAAAAATGTTATCACCTCCATGAAGACCTGTCAGTGGCTGAATACACTACATGTTGGGACAGGGCACTGTTTTCAGAGAGATAAGAACTGTGGGCTAGATGCTGCTCACACTGCCTACTGAAAATGAGGGTGCAGGTACATGATTTCTCAGGTTTCAGTGTGGTATCTGAATGATTTCAGATATCAGGCAGAAGTTTCAAATTCCTGAAATAGTGTCCATGGTATTGCAAAGACTGTAGAAAACTCATAGAGTTAGCTATCACTGTGCTTAGTACAGTCACACTGACAAAGAGACATATCCCATATTAGCATCTGTGGTGGTCAAACCAGTATTAACAACATAGCACCATAGAAAATACTTTAATTGCATTTTCTTTAATTGTGTTTCAGAAATACGTCTAGATCTATTTTAAAACAACCATCTATGCTTCATTGCCTCAGCCCTAGTTTCCACTGGCATAGAACAGCAGGCAAAGTGCCTTCAGGAGCATCAACAACTTTCTGTACAGGAGCCTGTAGTTAAAAAAGCACATGCTGGAAATGCAGGCTGAAAGCCATGCAAACAGCCTTAATTTAGCCTCTTGTTTGAATACACATTATGAACACGGTCTCTCTACAGACTATCACACTTTTTTCCTTTAATATTTGTCTGGTTTTCAGCGCGTCACTGTTTCTTCAGTTCTACTGGGAGTATTTACATGCTTAAATATGTGCATGACTTCTGCAGAGCTGGATTAGGACAGGACTGGAGGCAACCTCCATGATTTTAAAGGGTGGCATACAACACTGGACTAGAACTGGGCACTTGGGTTAGATCCTTTAAAGCTATTTAAATGGCCAGCAAGGAAAATACACTTTTCAAAGTATCTAGGAACAAAACTCACCCCAGATCAGATATCCATACTAGTAGTTATGTAGTTAGTGCTTATTTGCATCTTAAGGTATCTGAGTAGCTTTAAAAAAGCTCATCTTTAATAATTCTTTAGAGTCTGTACTCTATATTAACTATTTCTGAAGTAAACTTCAATAATTACAGTGAAAATATGCAAAGAGAACATTTTAATTCAAGAATAGAGAAAGGGACTTATATGGGAGGATCAAATGAGAACTGCCACAGCCTAAAAAAGCATCAAGCAACATTTAAGCAGCTTTATTTTAGGACATCAAAGTTTATCTTCAGATACTTAAGGTGTGGCTGGAAAAATCCAAGTACTCACATTACAGTTTGGATATGCTGGTGGGTTTTTTATAGTCGAGTATTACCGAAAGAATGTGTTTTTCAGATTTTATTATCTTCCTATGAATTGTTTACAGCTGAGAAAATACCTTCAAACAGTCAGCTGAAGCACCCTAGAAATAAAAGTAAGGAGGGTTTAAAAAAGCCAGTTTACTTTCCCTCAAGTACCTTGTTTCTCTACTCTTTATTTTACTAAGTTCACTAATTATTACACCCGAGACAGATTTATGTTTGGTTTTCAGTCCTTTTCTTCATCAATCTCACTTTTTATTATCTGCTTAAAAGAAATGTTTCAATTTCTATAGAGCACTGTGGGTTTCTTTCAGGCCAGATCTTAAGCCAACATTGACTTGAAAGGAACAACTAATGAGTAGGCACCTCCATGTAGGACACACAGCAGTGATGTTTCATGTAAAGGTAATTCACCAGCTGACAGCTTTCCCTCTATCTGAGTTGCTGACTGCACACGTATTAACTGCGCTGGCACATGAAAGCCTGTGGCCAGACAAGGCTCTGATCCTTGCACCAGGCACCTGGGCAGTGTTACTTCTCTTGTTCCCAGGAGCATTCACACAAAATTTCCATTCTCTGAAGCATTTTTCCAAATTGGAGATACTCTTTTTAGCATTACACTTCTATTGTCCATCCTGTATCTGCTTGTACGAAAAGGTCTGCTCCCCTCCTGTGCCTGCCCAGTCATTTCCACACGAAAAGGCTTTGTTCCAGATACTGGAGACTGCAGTCAGCTCCTGTTCTGAGCGGGCATTTGAGCATACTCGCATCCCACTGCAAGGCATTTCAGGCAATTAATTCCTCCTAGCTTATTACATGACTCTGCACTTTTGGGGTCTAATTCTGGTCAGACATGTTCCCAAATCTCTGATGCGGAGTGGAAGGTACCCTCTCCTGTCAACAGAACTGCAGTGCCCTGATGAACCACTTGTTCCTTAAATTAGACTATCTTGGACTATTTACACTAAATATGCATGTACAGAACAAGTTTGGTGTACATTGCAACCCTGCAGAAAACTTATATGCAAATAATTTCCATCCCTAATTCCAGTTTAGAACCTAAGCATTGTAATATGACGTTTACATAATTATTTTCAAAGAATGAGACAGATCTTTAGCTAATAATTCCCTGTGCTGCTCTGCAAAGAAGCATGTGCAAAATGTGTAATCCATGTACCACACTCCAGTAAAACAAATAGAAACTAAGTGTCCAGCTACACTTCAGTGTAAGTCTGCCAGCACCCTAGTTACACCCTGTGGCCTTTTTCATTTCAGAGGAGTCTCTCTTTGAATCCATTTTTCATTTTGGTAAAGGAAACTTAGATACAAATATCTGGATATCTTCAAGTACAGTTTTGTGTTTTCTTTCTGTTCCTATTTAAGTCTCAAAAATATTTTAGCTGTGATTTAACAGCCTGTGTTGTGTGTAAAGAAGAAAATAAAGTAAAAGACAATGACAGAAAGCAGGAATTTATAAGTCCAGTTAGGCAAAAAGGTACTTAAATCTGGCAGGTATGGGGGCTTATGCTTTTATTGTAGCTCTCATTTTAGTTATGTTATGACACCCAGTTAGGGACAATATTTCATTGTTCTAAGCATTGTTCTAATTCACACTGGTGGCATTGGTTTCAGAAAGGTACAACTTTTTCTTGACTACCTCTGCAGCTGAAATAAAATGTAACTTCTCTTTTCCTATAATCCATAATTGAGAGTTCACTGAAGAGAGAGCTTTACCTTATGCAATGCAACTCACCCAGGAAAAGCTTACTTTGAAACAAGTGCAACCATGGATGTCGTTTGAGATCCACATGAGGTTTCTACACACTGGTGCTGTGAATTTTAGCCTTGATTCTGGAGCTCTTACTTAGCTGGCGTCTGCAGAAGCACCATTGCAGCTGATGCTTGGGCTGGCTTGAGAAGATCCCTGTGGACCCTCCTTTGCTTTGGGGCATTTATTTATTTATTACATCGCAGTGAAATTGTAGTGCAGTGCAATTTCCTGTTCTTTCACAGTGACCTGTGAGAAAAGTTTATCTGTCCTTTCCCAGCATATGTCAGAGGCAGAAATAAGTCATTAAGGGACTAGCAGAACTCGACTGGTGCTAGCTTCTGCCTCTACTTGAGAGAGCCAGCACATTAGCTACTGACATCTGTGGCAGACAAGCTGCGCTTGCAGAAGTTTGTAATACAAGCCCTATAACCAGCAACTTGCTCCATCACTCTCAAAGGTTTAGCTGTTGTTGTTGTTGTAGTTTTCATAGGAAGAAGGAACAAGAAATGTGTGAGCCAAGAGGCTGCAGTGTTACAAAACATTTGTTTTTCTGAAAATGCCACACTGGTGACATCCTGTAATCTCAGTGATGCAAACCCTTCTCTGGTTAGGGAAGAACTTTAGCGAACAGCCTAGCTAGGTGGTCAGAGATGCCCTTTATAACATAAAAATCGATGAAACAGTACTGAAAGCATGCACAGCTGGGTAACGTATGCTGAAAGCACCCAGGAAACTTAGGCTGTCTTACCTGTGAAAAGACATTTCCATTTGCTAAGCTACATTGTGGATACTAGTAAATAAACTAAGGCCTATGAAATTATCAGGTACAATCTACCCATCTTACAGAATCATCTGTGGCTGAAGCCACCTGGTTTTCCAAATGCACAAGGTTGTTTGCAGCAAGGTTGTCATGGTAGCATTTGGGTTCCATATTTCTACAGTGAAGAGAGGCAAAGGTACTAACCTTGCTTCCCAGGCAGGCAAAAGGGAGCCAGCTGGGAGTGCTTCAGGGCAGCACAACCATAATGGTGGTGTGGATGGACTGAGGTGCCAGCCCTCTGTGACACTGTGGCTTGTCCGCATCCAAAATATCTCGTTCCTCTTTCTCTACATTTTTAAAAATTAAAATAGTCAAAAGCCTGCCAGGCTGCTTTTGTATCACTTGGAAGTCTTAATGAAAACGTAATGTAGCACAAAGGCATGCTTCCTGAACTTTAATTTGCCTAAGAAGTCATTAATTTGGTACACACCAGGGGGTGGCTATCTTGATTTCAAGGGTCAGCAATGAGTTGTTACCCAAACGTGTGTCAAAAATAGTTGATGGAGATCCAGGTGGGAAATGCTACAGCCTATGCAGACAAGACTGGAAAGAATCAGGTTTTGGAAAGGGGAAAGGAACTGGTTTTGGTTTGTATCTTTGCTAAATTTTTATATCATATTTTCAATGTACAAGACTATATCCTTTCCTCTTTTCCCTTCCAGTCTTTCTGTCTAGGTTTATGTTCTAGTAAAGGATGAGTGACCTGGGCCAAGTCTACAGAATGGGACAAAATACCCGAATATGCAGAGCAGAATAAATGGGAGAGAATGTTTGGAGCTCATGTAGTATTTAGAAAGACTGAAAGTGGCAAGCTTGGGAAAGGGATGGGTAAGAAACAGAAAGAAGTATAGCACATTCTTTACACCATTGACTAAAGTCAAAGAAAAGCTGAGGCTGGACAACAGTAACAGCCTTTGGACCTGAGTCACTTGAAAGCACACTCTGCCCTTGCTGGCTCTCTGGCTGGTTACAGTTTTCCTATCACCTGCTTAGACAAAGCCACTGTGCCGCTGAGCACATATGAGATGCCTGGGTAGCCTCTATTTCTGGACTTTCATAACTGAAAGCATCTATATTAATTAGACACTGTTACTAATACTTGGAACTTCTGCCATTTTTAAATGGGAAAACCTTGAAAGCATTTGCGAGTCTCACCTCTGACACTTCTATTAAGTGTTATCATGTATGGTTATGACATTGTATTAAAGAATATCTCCAGGAAATATTTAATTAGTGAGTCAGCAGTTTCGTAACTCAGAGCTCCTCTCTGTCTTCTTGTAGCTGCAGTGTTGTAACTTTGATTTTGCTTTGCTTTTTCCCCCACAGAAAATGCATAAACGTGCATTGCCAACCGTTCATATTTTTAGTTAGCTGAATTATTCAACTGTTTAAAATCTATTAATAAGCTGGTCATTAAATGAATCACTGATGTATTTCCCAGCTACTCAAGCTAAGAAACTATAACTGATGATCTATAAAAGCATCAGTGTGTTAAGGAAAATTAGCTGGAGAAGAGCAGCAATTGGTCACTTCGGCAGAGCCCACCAATCTGAACAGAAAGATTCACCAATGCCAGCTTCAACTAAATTACCAGAAATCAGATTTTGACACAGACTAATGTCTAGGGGAAGTACCATGAAACTGCTACACAGGGAGCATACGTCTCTTGTTCCTTAAGTTATTACTAGAATATTTTATAGAAGTATTTAAAATGGATCAAATTTGGGATGAATTTTAGACCTAGCACTTATTTGTACAATGGAAAAAAGCAAACCTATGGTCCAACCACTCTGCCTGCTTGGGAAAAAGTATAGTTTAGATTAAGGTCCAAATTCTGAGCCCTGGCTAGGCCCACCCCCTATAACAAAAAGGTTGAAAATGTTAGGTTTAATGGTGAGCTCCTCCATTGCTCTTATCCAGTGACAGGCAATGTGTGGAAGTCCTTGGTCAACCGTCATGTGTTTCTGGGTGGGAAGTTGTAGGACAGTGGGGACAGAGGATGGGGTAGCATGGGGTGGGGCACAGCCCTACGGTCCACACACCCAGCCAGAGGTTGATGGGGGGGGGGAAGTGAAATGAAGAGAAGGCAAAAAGGGAGGCGGGAGTTACCTCATGACCTCCATCTACCATAGCACTGTGGACCCTCGCCCCAGCCACTGCATCTTGGTTGGGCTTGAGACCCTCTATTGCCTGTCATCTATACCCAGCATCAGACTGGTGTCTAAGTGCTCTCCAGCTAAGCCACCTGCTATTAACAAATTTTGTGGTTTTCTGCTTTTTCCTCTTTCCTGGCTCAGACCACCCCAAAATACTCAGCTGCAGGCTGCTGAGCAAACCAGACATTTTTCACATTTGCTGGAGACAGCTCCACTCAGGGGCTGCCTGTTGGAGTCATCAATGCACAGTGTCCCACCACACTGGGTGAGAATTAAAGCTTGAAAACCAAGGCACTGTTGAAATTTGCTTGCTCAGTCACCCTGAAAAGCAATCCAAAACCTTCTTGTTAACACACATATATGAAATTTCTGTCTGACTTATATTTGTGTGATGTTTGTCCCCATGACACTGCATGAAGATGAAGATAGATGGTAGTAAAATCAGGAGTCAAGGAAGTAGAGGAGAGTAGGAGTGTGCTCACCTACAGCATGAAGGTGCTTCAGCGAGGGAGTGCTTGAAGAGCAACTTTTTTTTCCTCCTCCTTTCTGTTGCAATCATTGCTTGCTTGACAGGCCCAGACGGAATTACATCACTTCCTAAAACCCATCAAAGAGAGTCCATCTCCTCAAGAAATGCAGCTCAGATGCACCCCGGCAGGAAACAGGAAATGTAAATGTTTGGGTGAAGCAGGGAGCCAGCCGAAGCGCCCCTCGGGTGGGAGCACCGCCAAGGTAACATGCGAAAGCAAAACCTCATCGTCCTGCTTTCTGCCCTGTCACTGGCTGGAGGATCTGCTGGGAATGGTGAGTAAGGAAGCACCTTTTTCCTCTGAGGTGGGACCGTGTTTCGTGCCTGCAGTGCTGGGACCGAGTTGGAGGGCAACACCCTCCAAACTGAGCATGAGAGAGATCTGTGGGGACTTGCTCTCTGCTGCTTTTCGCTGTATTTGCCTGCTCTGTTTTCAGGTCCCTGACTCTTTCCAAGCTTTGACTTTTTCCCCTTAGATCTAACCCCGAACAGCAGCGACCAAATCCTACAATTCCCACGTTTCCTAAATTTCGGGTGTGTAGGGAACCTGAATTTCCGTGCTGGCCTACCCTGCATTTTGGTTCTAATTTTAATTATTTGTTGTACTTGTTTAACCTCACACCCATACTATCAGCATTTAATAGCAAAGTGAAGAACAGAGTATGGATTCCATTCAAAAACTGTCTGCCGCTTTCCATGCTCACAGTGCACTGAAACCGGTTTAACGAAAGATCAGCTGGTTCTGGAGGTAAATACTTTGAATTCTCGGCCCCAGAACAAAGTGGTGAGCACTGTGGGTTTAGGTACTGACCTTCTGAAGGGAAGAACCATGAATGGGAAAGCCGCTTGCAATAAAATGCTGAAGCATTGGGGTGTCATTGCAGAGGCTCTCAGCTGCTTGCAGGGGTAGTTTGTTCCGCTGGCATTTTGGCAGCCAGTGACTGAACAAGACAGGCAGCTCTTTTAGTAAAACCTTGCCAGGTGGTGTTTATATGCCTTTTGGTGTCAAGCAAATCACTGCCTTAGTGCCTCAGCATGGACTACAAGTGTTTGCTGCCTCTATGCTGCTGCAGCGAGTGAGAGCTCTCCAGAAACCAGGGAGAGGAGAGGATCATTCTCAGCTATCGCTGGACTTCCTCTGTTAAGGGTTTAAAATGCATTGGTGAAATAGGTGGTTTGGTATGGGTAGTTTTGCCTGAAAACCAGTAACATAAGCAGGGTGTAAAACTGTGCTGCTGGCTCCAGGTGTGATGCTGAGCTGCTTGCAGTCAGCTTTAGGATTCTTGCTTAGCTATAAGGTGAGCTAAATGAGGTATGAAATGGCTTGGTCTTGTCTGCATGACTACAGCCCTGCTGCATTACAGACATGTTAGGAGAATACTCTGCAAGCACTGAATGTAGCTCAGAATCAAAGTGGTATGAGGAAAAAATCCTGCCATGGACAGAGCAAACTGGAGGTCCCAGGGGAACAGAGGGGCAATGCGGAGTGATCAGGTTCTGGCTTCCTTTGCTCATTTGCAGTGTACTGATCACTAGTACTTCACCCCATCTCCACTGGGAAGAGGAACACCTTAGTCCTCAACTCCCCCAGCCCACAACTGGACCCCCCTTGCCCTTCTTTACAATGGGCATTCAAGGCTGCATAAAACACTGGGCAGATACCACATACCAGGTGCCCCAACCCACTGCCTTTAGAGGCTTCCTACTGGTAGGTCCACCCATAAGATCTAGCTGATTTTGAAATGGCTCCTCCATGAAAGTGAGTCAGTCCTGACAGAGCTCTCCCTGAGCCCTGTCAAGCCTAGGCTCTCCCAAGTCAGTCCCCAGCTGCTGGGGAAAGGGAGGAGAGCACCCATCAGGAGAAGAGCAGTGTCACTTCCCCCCATACAAAGGCAGTTCTCGGTTGTGCAACCAGCTCCTGAAAGTACCTGGGGCTTACGCTGACTGCAAGAGTGGGAGGGGTGAAATTGTGAACTTGGGCTTTGAGGGGGGAAAATTGAACTGGAGGGGGAAAGAGTTTATATAGAAGTTTATGTATCCCACAGGCACTGGTGGATTTGGAGTCCCCCTGCTGAGGGCAGCCTCCCAGAGGGATCCTTTGCTCTCACCCCTCCTCATTTACGAATCAACAGGGCAGGACCTTTAAAACAGCTTTATTCCTTCTTCTTCCAGTCCCAGGCACAGCCCTCAACTTTAAAGCAGTCTGCTGTCTAGAAGCCACTTACCCTTATTGCCTATTTTGTATGATTAAATCTTGCAGCATAGACAGATTGAAGTCTTTATAAGTCCTGTTCGTATACCATGCTGGAGCCTTGTAAAACCCTAGCCTTGCCATTTGGATTATGATTAACAGATGGGTTTTCTCCCGGCTATGCTATAATTACTCTAAGCCAGCAGCTCTTAGAACATGCCTGAGGTCTCAGCTCCAGGTGATGGTGTTCACTGCTCAGCCTCACAGCAGCCCTAAAAGTCTACCAAGGTATGTTCTGACCCTAGGAACAAGTATTCAGGCCCTTACTATAGCTTACAGGAAAAGGATGTGACCCTACAGCCATTTCCCAGGGTATGCCATGTCCTGCAGTGTTTGGTGAAACATGCAGAAAATTGCGGCATAAGTGGTCTGACATAAGGAGCAAAAAAACATGCAGGAGAGGAGCAGCAAAACGTGTGAGATTGTTAAGTGGAAGAGCTGGGATGGTTGCAGGTAGTGCTTTATTTTGGCTGTGCCTCTGAGCTGTCGTTTAGAGCTGTTGTTCAAAGAAACATTGCTATCAAAGATCCAGACTTTCAGAAGCTTTTACCATAAGCACAGGCAGCCATTCTGTCTGTCTTCAGTAGAGAAGTGCCCTTTAGGTTAAGTTCCTTATGAAGCCAAGGTCTCTTAGGGAGTGATATTTTTGACCTCTTACCCCTAGAGTACCCATCAGAGTCACCTTGCTTCTAACAATGCAACAACATGACAAATAAGGATTTGCTACATCTCTTTCCAAAGTGCAGGCCTCTAAAAGCAGATTTAAACCCCTTTCTACTGAACACATCAATTCCTTGTACATATTTACTCCTATTTCTCCCTTTTATCTACACACACAAGCTTCCACTGTGTTTTATTCAAGTGCTTCAGGGATACTTCAGAAAATCTCTCCCTTACATCAGCAAGGTTGTATACTAAATTTCAGTCAGTGACACCAGTCTATTTTCCTTCAAGAGATTTTGTGATAGCTGGGGAGCCTCTGGAGCTTTTGAATCTTTAATTTCAGGGTCCTCCTGAGAGTAAGGAGCACTGAAAGATCTGCATCACTGTGAAGTCACACGGGTATCACTGATGCAGAGCTAGAAGGCCACAAGATTAAGTAGATGCGACTAAATGCATAAATTTATATGGAAAACCTCTAGTACTGGGGGTGAGAAATGAGACTACAGGTTCACAGTTTGACTCTAAGACACATAACTGAATTTTCAACACTGGCATTTAAGACATCACTTCAGCTGGATGGCAGTATAGTGAGGAGAAAGCAGTTTCCATCATCTGTAAGTGAGCTTAAACAGTTGTTTCCTCTTTCAGCTCATACCTAGATAACACTTTCTAAGCACCGCATTTTAATAGGATCTTGTCTAAGATTAGCCATCCTGAAATGTTTGTGCTCCTCATCAGAAGGGCGTACACACCCGACAGCTAGCCTGCAGGCTTTTAAGGATTCCTCTTCTAGCCAGACTGACATGCAGGACCTGCAGCAACAAGCAGCTGGGCAAGCCCTGGCTACGGCAAGAACAGCCTTTCTTACAGCAAGAAATGTAGGGAGAGGAACAGAGCAGAGGTGAGTCAAACAATAAGGAAAGAGGATCATACAGACCACGTCAAGTGGTATGACTGATACCACCAGAGGGATGTGTGTATGGAACAGAGTGATACAGGACGTGGTAACTTTACATACACAGCTTTATAGCCTTTTCTGTTTTGTCACCATCTTGTGAGCCTTCCTTTCACTGCACTTTTATAGCTTATAGGAGAAACAAAAAATCTTTCAAACTGGTAAGCTTGACTATACCATTGACTTAGCTCTTGATTTTTCTCTATACCATCCTTTCTTTTTTCTATAAGGAGGTACTATAGTGTGATTTAAAAGATTCCCTATAGAGTCTCTTTCCTCGAGTCTGATGAGGAGGCAGCAGGGAGACTGATGATTTTACACAGAATCAAATGTGCTGACTGCTGGCTATTTTGCCTTGCCTCCCATCCAGCTGAAATCAGAAACCTGTTTGCCTGCTTACTTCAGCAGGTAGCACATATCGCCACCTCTGAGTGCTATGGCACAAACCTCAGAGGAAGAAATGCTGCAACAGCAGAAATACTGATTGTTTGTTTGAGATGCAATTGTCTGGACTGCAATCTGTAAAGCTGGGTAGACTCAACTCCCTCTGTTTCCTTTGAAAGGCAGGCTTGGGAGTGACAGGCGAAAGAGCTAGAGGGAGGTGTGTTGAGGCAGCAGGTGAAAAGCAGGAAATAACAGCAATATCCTTGCAAGGACATTGTGCAATTGGCTGCCCTTCTGCTGAAAGACTTATTTAATTCACTTGCAGAAAAGATCTCTGTAAGAGGAAATGGTGTTCACAGAAGAGATGCTGTTTTGCTCCTGAAATTACGCAAAGTGAAAAATACGTGGCAGCAAGGTCACTCCCTGTGATTTGCCTTTTTCTTTGCCTAGAGACTAGAAAAGATAATTCTATTTCACACAAAGACAAATTATTTGAAATCTGCTTCACAGCCCAAACCCAGGCAAATAGAAAGTACCAGAAACACTGGAAAAGCCTCTCTTGGAAATCAAACGCAGCATATACTGCAGCCGAAAGTTCAGCACTGAAGTTAATGAGGTGCGACTGGTTGCTTTTGCTTTCAAGTCACACCACACTTTAGACATTTGAAAAATCCATTTTAGCTCTAAGAGTAAATGAAAAATAAAGGTATTTCCCCCACAAACTTTCCCATTTGTATGATTTTAAGCAATGGATTTGTCAGTGTATCAAATGCAGCAGACAACAGGTTTCAAGGGCAACGGCTAAAGAAGGAAAATGAAGCAAGGTCATTGATGCAGTTTGGTAGGGCTGCGGTGGTCCATCATGCCATGGTTGTGGTGTGGACATCTCTAATAATATCTCCCTGGTCCATGCAACAGCAATAGAAACAGAGCAGCTGCAGGCACTGGGGACTATAAACTACCCTAGGAAAGAAAAGTCAAGTGGCCAAACTAATAATGGAGAGGAGCGCTCCCTCCCATCCTCTGGAGTAGGATTAAGGACTGCCATCAAATCATGGGAAGAGGTGGAGAAGCACACACGTAAAAGGGTCATTACCTGCAAGGGAGGCAGAAATTATGTTTTGCTCTTTACTGAAATACTAAATACAGAAGAAAATGACAGATTACTGATATGAAGTGCTTTGCCACTGCACACCTGACATTTTCATTGCTGTATTATGGTGAAAGAGTCTTGTGACAGTTGCAGTATTAAAAACTATGTTCAAACATTAGGTATTATTTATTAAGTATTAAAATCCTTTCCTAGCTTTTAGGAAAGGATGAAACAATCACGTGCCTGAGTGATAAGCATGACTTAAAAATCTAGATAAATTATTGCTATCATACTCAAATAATTTTTATTCATTTGAAATTGGGTTTCCTGGAATATGATCTCATGAGATACTCATCTCCTCTTTCAGACAAATCTGTCAGGAGAGGAGATGCTGCAGAGTGGATTAAGCAAGAGCTAGCACTCTAATCCCAGTTTTTCTCTTTCAGTTGGCATCCCTGAGAAGGACAGCATCCATGTCCTTCTGATTTCTCATTTGTAAAATGGAGATAACTGCTCATCTCTCAGGGCCATTATGAAGATTAATGTGTTTACAAAAGCATTTAAAATGCTAAGTACTGTTGGTTCCAGTCCTGTGAGACTGAAAATGCCAGCACTGAAATGCTGAAAACCTTAAGCTCTTGCTAACTCTAGTGGAAACTACGTCTGCCCAGCATTTTATGAGAACAGGGAGAAACAGGTCATTGCAAAAGTCATGAAATCCCATCCTGCTTTATTGCATAAAATGAGAGATGCAACACACCAGCATTGTGTCTGAAAGGGCAGATAACAAAAAATCCTCATTTAATTTCATGCTAATAAAATTACTGAAGGCTTTGCATTTGGAAACATGCTTGTGTAATTTACCTAAAGACTGACTCCTGCACTTCTGGCTACAACAGGATTTTTAGCATCAGTATAGATTACAGTATCAGCCCAGAATTTGCTGTACTTGTTTTGAACTTTAAATTCCGTGACAGTCAGCAGACTTTTAATTAGCCTCAAAAAAAGGCTTGTTTCACTATTACTAATATAGCAAATTTTAGCTATTTTTCTTGCAAAATACATGGTAAACAAGACCAAAACCCAAATCAAGGTTCAAAACCTCCAGTCTTAGCATCTCTGAAGCATAACCAGCACTGACTCTTTACCTTATACTCCTTCAGCCAGCCCACAGAATTGGACAGAGGAAGAGTTAATTGCACCTGTATCCAGTAAAGTCCCCATGTTACTGCCACCTTTTCACGTCCATGCAGAAATGAAAGTCAACAGCTTCTGCAGGCTTCAGACTTCTTTTCACCAGTTCTGTTTTTCACAGTGAAACAATTTAAATTTAAGAACCAGGGATATGAGTGAGCTGGGGGAATTGGTGAACCAGAGATAATGTTCTCTCTGAAGAGAGTACTAACTCCTTGGGTAAGGGGAAGGATGAAAGAGGTTGTGGCTGTACATGCCACGGCTGAGGAGCAAAGCAGAATTGTGTAGTTTACTGAGAAGTAGAAGACCTGTGTGAGAGCAAAACCAGATGCCAACCTGCACGGAAAGAAAGTCTATTGGTGCAAGACAGCTGCATGCAGACAGTCCACACACTCTGACACGTCCCAGTAAAACATGTGAAGAACGTGGTCAGGACTGTAAGATTTTGTGATGAACTTACAATTTAATTTTACATCTAATGCCCCAGACTCCAAATATGAAGTCTGTGAAGCATCTGCTGATTTCTTTTTAAGAAATCAAATATTTACTTTTCATCAAATGAAAAGTAAACATTAAAGCTATATTCTTTGAGTCACTGATAATGCTAATAAAATCCACAAAATACTAAGTTGTCCTCATATATTTGGCAGGCTTTGAAAATGATGGTTCAGGAGATGGATCACCAATATTACCCACTGTTACAGTAACGCCTCCTGCTACACATTCTTCAAATGCAGATGACCACGAGCCAGTACCTGGCACTGCAGGCGCTACTGAAAGCAGCTCTGAAGGAAGAAGTACTCCAAGTATTGAACTGGATACCATAAATGATCAAGACAGCCTAGAAGCAGCAGAACAGTCTATCTTGATACACGTTGTCCCTGTCGTGCTGCTGGTCCTGTTGATTTTGCTCATCATGTTTTTTGTAATACATCATAAAAGGAAGAAGTCTAAGCAAGGTAAATTTGTCTCCTCATGCATCAGAACGATATTTTTAGGACACACTTGACCTTAACAAAATGTTATTTAGAGGCCTGGAATGCCAAATTTAGGATGCACTTCTCTGGTTGTAGCTGCATGTTTGACAGATAGGAAAGGGATCTACCAATAGCCAGCAGCACCTAGGCACACATCCTTCCTTGGGTAGGAGCTAGTTCTGCTCCTGCTCACACTGCACACTCATGGGAGCCATAGCACCAAGCTCCAGCTCCTGGCAATGCCAGGAATGGTGTATGAATGCAACCATGTGGCTACAAAAAATTATTGTGTCTTTATACTTGATAACTTCATGCAAGGTGAATTTAATGCTTCTATTGCCTAAATTGCCCACAAGGTAAAGCTGCATCGGTAAAATAAGAACAAACAATACCATTTTAAAGAACATATTTAAGGGCTTCTGTGGGGTGGTGGCAGCTATGAACATACCACAATATGAGTTAGGAATTCCATGGTCAGAATGCCTGGGTGCTATGATAGGGTGAGCAGTGCTTCCAGAAGGTACCTGCATCTGTTAGCAAAGAAATTGGATGCATGGAGTGTCAAGCCACAGAGAACAAACTGAGGATTAAAACCACACAGTTGGTAAGTGAAGTCCTGAAATGGTCATATCAGCGTCTCTACAGAATAAGAGTGCAGCTATAAGCTCCTCAGCCTGCAGTGACATATGTTCAACATGTATTTAAGGTCCATTTTTCAGGGCATATTTAGCCTGCACTTGCCTTATCACCGGGTTACCCTCTGTTGCTGAACCCAGGATACCCTCATAGCAAACTGAATTCACAACCAGGTACCTAGTTGCCTGCCTGTTTCTGAATGACCTGAAAAGCAGATACAACCTTCAGGTCCTTAGACCTGTTGCCCTGTGCCTGCTTGCTCAGAGCTGGGATTCTGAGCATCCTCAAAGCAGGGGCAGAGAGCTCTGTCGCCCTGGGATGGCTCTGCAGTCTCTGAACGTGCTGGAACAAGTGGGAGGCAGCAGTACCTCAGCAACAATGAATTAAAAATAAGCCGATTTAACACAGTATACAATGTGAAACCTATGTGGAGTTCTTAATTCTTTTTTGAGAGCACTTAATTCCTGGAGGGGAAATTATTTGTCTGAATAATTGTTGTAACACTATTCCCTCTCCACCCCCCATCTTTACTTTGTCATAGGGTTTTAAGAAACTTGGGATCCCTTGCTGGCATCTGGCTAGTTCAGCTTCATTTGCCTAACTGAGCTTTAATCTGCCATGCAAGTCCGTCCCCCCATCTTCTCTCCATGAGCAGCTCCCAGTCTCCAGGCAGAGACAGATTGCCTGCATGTCGTCTGCAGCAAAATGTCCCAGCACTTGAAGTAAATAATTTTGCAGCAGCGGTTTCCTTCCAGGATACCATTTCTCTCATAACATCTGTTTTGCTCAGGGAAGTGAGCATCTGCCCACTGCAGTGCTAACAGTTGGATTCCTCCCAGCACGACTGAGCTAAATAAACTGAGCACTGCTTTTAGTATGTTCAAGATTAAAAATAATGGGTTCCTCTGATAATTACAAACAGGATGAGATGTTTTTTCTTTCATCTATAACTATTATGCCTTCTGAAAATGCAACCTGTTTTACATGACACTATTCAAGGCTTGCTTGCAGTCTGGACAATTTACATACAAAAAGCAGAACTATGAACACTGAGTTTTTTCTTTTCCAGATGAGCTGGGAAGTGAAAATGTGAAAAGGTAAAGTTTATGACGATCATTTTTATTTTTACTATAACAGTGTATTACGATTTTCAGCTCCTTCACTGTCCGTTTTAATTTAACTGTACACTAAACCCCATTACCTTTTGCCATCAATTACTCCAGTTAACTATCTCTAGAGGTGGCTGAAGTGTGACTTCATTATCTAGCTGAAAGTGTTTGACCAGAGCAGGAGAACAGGAGTTATGATGGTCAAGGTGAGCACTGCCTGCAGTCACCCAGTGCCTGCCCTGGGCACTCCCAGCTCCACCAGCCACAAGACACCACCAGACATACAAGGTGCCCCACAAGCAAAAGGGATAAGTTCCCAGACTCAGCACAGGCTTTTACTATTCAAAATAAGCTCTGTGTCTTGCTCCCCTGTTTTTCAAGTCTGTCTTCTCACTCTGAGTCGAGGTAGAAAGGCTCACCCAGCTCCCATGGAAGCAATGCCTTCACTGCTGGGAAAACAAGCCAAAAGCTGCATGGTTCTTAGAATGATAATTTTTACTAGTACCTTCTGTTTAGCAAGATGGAGCTCACTGACGCTGGAAGTTATTAAATTGGCTTGACAGGGGAGGGCTGGGGTGCTAAAAATATTTTTAATACCATGTGACTCCAGGAATGATCAGCAAAGAGAGGCTAAACAGAAGCATTTAAATAAATGCAGAGTTACTCTAGTCATGACCTTTCCTTATGAAGTTGCTGCCAATGGTCACAGCTAGGACAAAACTCCAAACAACAGGACTTTTGCCACATGTTCCAGCAGATCAAACTATTTCAGTTATCTATTTACAGAAGGGACAGTTCTCAAGTAGCTGCAGTGGTCCTGGGCTCTGCCATACCCTAGGCTGCACCTCCTGAATCCCTGTGTATGCAGTCTCCCACCCAGCCCTGCCTCTGCCCAAGCCTGGCATCTCACCACTGCTCTTTTGCATCTATGTGCAGCCATTTCATTCACACCCACTGGGCTGACATCTTCTCAGATTACTAGGTTAGGATAGCTTTCCAGAGTTTGTGTGTCTGGAATTATGAAAGGCTCATACAAAATTAACTAAGTTGTAAGTTGTTGAATTAAGCATTTTTGTGTAATGCCTTTCCCCCCTCTCCCTCCTTTCAAGTCCTATTTTTGAAGAAGACACACCCTCTGTTATGGAGATAGAAATGGAAGAGCTTGACAAATGGATGAACAGCATGAACAAAAACGGTACACGGTAACCCCTCTACTCCATTACCCTTCTCATTCTAGCTGACGGAGATCCCATGCATGCAAAGTACCTTACATTGATTTTCTATGTGTGTCGCTGCTTTTCCTATAACATTTTTAGTTGTGTTCTTGGCTCCCTACTACTAAAATAGCAGTACAAATGTCAGGGGTAAAATTCTTGAGAGTAATATTTTAGTTTGTGTGGGAGCTTATTTTTAACATATGATAGAATATCATAAATGTTTTGAGTTTCCAGTAGACACTTCTATTAAACATGTATAGCTGTGAACAGTATTTATATTTTTAAACACATTTTAAGTACTAAACACTAGTTTCTTTGAAGCATCTAGTCCTTTCAGTCTTCAGAGTTCCTACACTTCTGTGCTCCACATTGTGCTATTGTAGATGCATTTACTCATAGTTCAGACCACCATTTATTTAAAATTGCTGCCTGGATCCTATGAATGCATGCCTCCCCTCTTTAAGACCTTTTCCTTGCTTTCCATCTCTACTGCATGAAGCACAAGCCGCTCTTTACTGCCAGCACCATTCATCATCTGCATCCTCTGGCAAATCTATCAGCCCATGAAGCAATTAGCACCTCAGGTAACTAACACCAGCAGCACCGTCAGCTCCTTAACTTGAAGTATCTTTTCTTCCCTCCCCCCATTTTCCTCCCAACTGAAACCTCCCGGTCAAAATCTCCACGGGCCCTGCATCCTCCTTCAAGATTCTCCTCAGAAATCTCAGGTCTTTGGTGTGAATTAAGAAGCCTGATTTTGAACTGCTAACAGCTTTTTACTGCCCAGGAAATGCTGAAATGCTGCTTTACTTATTTATTTATTTATTTATCATTCTTGGTTTCTTGCCTTATATCCAAACGGCTCATTGGCCTGACCTCCTAAGGGATGCTTTGTTTCTCAGGACATAAAACTCCTTGGAGCATTTCTTTGCATCAGCAGAGTGCTCTATGTAATAGGGTTTTAACCTTCGTGGTCCATAAGCTCTAGCAGAAAACATGTGCTAAGTGGCAGTAGTGAACTAGAGGCATGAAGTATAGTACATACAGAACCCATGTTGTAAATTAATTCTTTTTAAAGTTCTGTGGACAGAAGAGAGAAAACAGTTTACATATGTGAGGGGGTTTTTCTAGTGTTCCCTAAACCCCATCCCCAAATTCCCAGCTGGACTATAAAGCATAGGTGCAACTATAAGCAGTAGAAGGTTAACAAATAGTCCTCCCCATGGCTGTTTATAGGAAACAGTGCTCAGAAGTAGTTAATTTGTATAGGTGTGCATAAACAACTGAAATATATATAACAAAAAAAAAAACTATTGCAGCACCTATAAAGTGGAAGGAAGGTTTAAACTTTATCATTTATGCTATAGGAACCATACTATTTTGCAGATAAAAAGGTGCAGAAAAGCATTTACAATTTTACATTCTAGAGAGACTGCATGCTAGAACTGACACAAACTTAAAATGTATGTGGGAGAACCACAAGGAATAACCATAGTCTTGTTTCTTACCCTCTTACAGCTGACTGTGAATGCTTGCCTACTGTAAGAGAAGAAGAAAAAGAATCCATTGCCAACCCAAGGTACTTTTACTTTGTTATATAATTTGAAGAAATACAGTCAATGTCATTTCAAAATAATATTTTTTTAATATATAATTATATACAGATAAATTCTTTGGTCTATTTAAGTTTAAGTTTTTATAGAGAGACTTTGATTTCAGTTTCTAAGGTTTGACACTCTTATTTCTAAACCAGTCTCTGCCTGTAAATTGCACGGCTAAATAATCTTGCGGTTGTAAACCTGTGCGAGACAGACAACCAGATGGCACAGATGGAGTTTCACTTCCTGATCAGACTTTAGTCACAGCTTCTCAAGGTGTTAATACAAGCATTCAGCATAGCTTCCTTGACATTCCTCATTGGCACGGACACCCAGCTCCTTCTGCTACCGGGCACCTGTAGGTCCCCAAGAACCACTGCCAGATGTTTTGGCTGGAGTTGTGACCTGCTGGACAGGGGCTTGTCTGACCCAAAGAGAAACCCAAAGGGTCTTCCCAGTGCCCCCATGCAGCCCTTCCCCAGAGCTGGCTCATGGTCCAAACAGTGATCCCAGAGAGATGCAAAGCCACAATCCTGACAGCTTGTACACTAAAAAACTTTCTGGCTGGTTTCCCCAGGATTTTGGCCACAACCCCTAAACTCCTCTCAAGCTCCTATTTTCTCTAATTAAAAATTCTGGTTCCAGCTGGAAGCAAGAGACTGTACATCACCCTTTCCTGCACTTGTGTTGCAGCTGCATTCTGGGGAGTGGGTAAAGCAGCTGCTGTGTGCCAGGTCACAACAACAAACAATTAGACCATCCTTTGTGCCAAGAAAATCCCTGGTGCAGTGGAAGCAACAGATGCGAACAGGCAAGGCTGGAAGCAAGCAGGGCTTGAAGGAGGAGAACACAAGTCTTCCCCTTCCCATGGCACCAGCTCAACATGCCTCTATTAGAGCTGCACCTCCCACTGCACACTATCACGGTAACTCAGAAGAGAGGAGAACTGGGATTTCTTGATTAGGAATGGAATAGCAGTGATTTTAAATCACCACTGCTGGAGAGCCTGCAACTCCAAAGCTGCAGTTTCAGGGTAGCTTTCCGAATGGGGCTGCACCACTGCACCTATTTGTATTGAAAAGGTTTCTGCTTATGTCTATTGCAAGAGAAAACTGATGGGGTGTGAGGATTATTTAATTTTTTCAAGACTTAGATCCTAGGTTCCAGATGCAACCAAGCACAGTAATTTTACCCTAAGCAGCTGGAAAAGATGCTGGATTCACTAGCCATCTGGGTCTTACCTTCCAGCCCCTAAATGGTAACTCAGAGTGTGGGAATTATTAAGGAGAGGCAGCTGCACAGTTGTTCTCTAAAAACAGATTTGCTGAGCATACCGCTAACTATAGTAGGGAGTATAGGACAAAGTGTGCTTCAGTCATGTGTTAACACAGAAGTTAGTCATATATAAAGGCTTTTTAGTCACAACACCACCCTGAGCACTGTTTACTTCTACTAAACAGTTCCTTTTCAGAAAAAAAAAAATCATCATGATGTACCAGCTTGACTGACATTTTAGATACCATCCTTGCTAAAGCACTTTTACACTGTATTTGCATTAACCCCATCAGAAGGCAAGGTTTCTGCTCTTGACTGGTAAAAGGTAACTTTGGGCTACATCCTGCCTGAAGTTCCTCATCTGTAAAATAGAGATATTGTCACTTCAAAGCACTATACTGAGGCTTAAGCCTTGATGCAAGAAAGCAGCCCTGTTCAGATAAGTATGCCTCAGTCAGAGTGAAGGTACACACATTATTTCAGCATATTTTCTTATGCCTGGTATCTTAGGATCAGACTGCAGAGAAATTTATGCTTCTGAGTTGTAAGAAGGCAATCAAATGCAAATAAAAAGAGGAGATTTATCTCTAAAATACTCAGAGCTTCTCAGACAAAGGATATTAGTTGAATACAAAGTACTAAATTATTAGGTTCAATTTCAGATTCTGAAAGACTCCTTTGTTTGAGCAAATTTCTTCCTAAATTATGGTAATTCCTCTTTTAGATTTTATTGATTATATTCAACATGGGAAACATCTCAAGGCCTCACTGAACACAGCTGGCTGAGTGTTGTTTTTCTGCCTCATAAATATGCTGGGGGGAGTTCATCAACAACCAAATGTTTGAACTGTGAATTGATTTTGATATCATTTTGAAAACATCCAAGACTAAACATTTCAATAATGCCATTTTGACATTTTCAGAATGCAACTTGTTCCAAAACTACTTTTCAGAGTAAGTGACTTTTTAATACAAACTTTTAAAAGGTTTAAAGAACAGAATCCTGTGGTGGTGACATATTTCTAAGATAAGCGTTTCTCTTAACTCAAAAGCTACTTTTTCAAATTTCATTTTACATGAAAGTTTGAAACATGCTTCCTTTCAAAGAGAAAAGGTATCTGAAATGGTGGGATTTCATGGTAAACACAAAAATTTATTCTCATTTCTGCAATTGAACCTAATCAGACCAAGATCATCTGCTTTTCCTGACCGAACTCTTAGCTGAGTAAGAAATGTCAGAATAAGAACTACATACAAATAAATGGCTGTTTGCAGCAGCTCTTTTGAGAAAAGTGAAGTAAAATGAAAGAAAACTATTATTATGGCAAAAATTTGTACTCATGAGCATCAAGGCTGCAGATTTGTGCACAAGAGACAAGATATGACTGCCTGAGCTCCTTTGTAGGTTGAGGTCATCCGCCTTGCACATAAACTAAGTTAAAAATATATACATATATTATTTTAAATATATATTAAAAAAGTGTATATTCATCTTGCCTTTGAAACCTAGTGCTAAAATCCTGTTTGTGCCTGAGCAGAAAGCCACGAAATCTCCCCAGCCTCACTGGAGTTCCCATCCTGTGCATGCAGGAAGGAGCTGGCAGGTGGGCACAGGCAGGGGTTGACACTCCTGTGCTGCACAAGTGGGTGCAAGACCAATCTCTTCTCCAGGGACCTTTACTCCCTTGGCAAAACAGAAGCACAGTGTGTCCCCTTCAAAGCACAAGTCTTTGTAGGCTGCTGAGTACCTTGAACCAATCCCCCCTTGCTTTATCATACCTCCTGAGGGAGTTCGGTTTTTCTTGGGCACTGCTGGGCACCCTCCTAATCTTTCTGTCTGAAAAAGTGTGACTTTCTTATGGGGAGATGTTCTGTATATGGAATAAGTCAGTACAGAAAAATATTCTTCTCCTAGCTGGGCTTTATTTTGTCAAGGTACTTCAAACCCATGTGAAATACTAAGATTATGAGTGGCCCTTTTAACTTCAGAGGTGGTTTAAAACCCTGCTGTTAATGCTGACTGAAATCTGATCATCTGATAAAAAAGTCACATTTGGATGTTGGCATGAACTAAACATTATTAATAAAGCACTAGGGAGCAGGTTAGCTCTACAGAAACCAGTGGGATGAAGAAAATTCACCTGTTACAAAGTCAGATTCAGTACAAAAAATTCCATCTGTAAAATACTACCCTCCCATGTGGAAAGAGGGCAGTTTCATTGCTCAGTCCTCACCTGTGAGCAGGAGAAAGAGGGCACCAGGTAGCACCTAACCAGCAGAGAAACAAGACCAGCCCGTGCTGCCAGCATCTAGCACCACAGATGGGGTCATTTGAAGCACTGCATGGCTGACACATTTGTTTTGATAACACATTCTCATGGACTCCAGAGATACTTTTGCATATTATTTCCTGCTGAGAAAATGAACCCAACAGCATGACACTGGTTATGTTTCTTTCTTTTCCATGTACATGCAGTGACGGTGAATCATGAAGTCACAACAGCAAAGAACTGGTTAAAATGAAGCAGTGCACAAGCTAACTATCCTCCAGATATTGGACGGACTGGATTTACATAGAATTCATCTCAAAAGGCCAGAGAAGCAAATGCTTTTGTTGTGTTCTGCTACATAGTCTTCAGAAAGGAAACATCACCAAAGGGAAGGAAATAGAAAAAAGAGAAGGACTATAGTAAGATCAGGGGCTGATTTAAATACCTTCTGCAATGAGAATCATCTCACGTCAAGAGAAGCCTTTTCCCCTCCTAAAAGTTCTCAAAATAGTTCCTGTTTCTGTCTAGTTGTTCAGTTGTGTATTGTGTGGCACTTAAAACCACTTCTGTTCCAAGTTTGGTGGGTTTGTATTTATTTCTTTTGGTGGGTGGTTGTTTTTATATATAACAGCAGCCATAAATCTGGACTGCCCTGGTTTGGTGGATATGATGCTCATGCCTATGCAATGTTTGGTTTTCAATTTGCTGTTTGGTAATGGTGCACTGATTTGCACAGGGCATCTGCTGGGGAGGTACTAGACTAGGACTGACAGACCAACTTTGAGAACAGAGCAGCTGAAAAGACTCTCAAAGGATTTGCCACAGGTGACTGCAGCCCAGTGAGGGCATGGTTTGTGTAGCATGCTTTTTGGTTTTCAAATTAAAAGCACTGGAGAAGTGAAAAATACTATTTTGAGATTGCCTTTCAGTTCACTATCTTCAAAGATTAGTACCTTGGGCTACCTCTCACCATTGAACCCTCCTCCATGGCCAGTGCTGTTCTTTTAACAGTCACTTGGGGCTACCTCTCACCATTGAACCCTCCTCCATGGCCAGTGCTGTTCTTTTAACAGTCACTTGCATCAGGAATATTCAACTTGAAAACAGTTTTTTTTTTCTTTTTTAAAAAAGAGAGAGAGGTTGAAAAATTGAACACCACAATACTTATACCAAACAAGTTCAGGTAGGTACAAGTTATGTGTAACTACTTGGTCAAGGTATTAAGATGCAGTAAGATCTCTGCTTCTTCTGTTTTTGAATACTGAGGTTGCAGTATGTGAAAGACATGAACTCCTGCGTGTGCCTGGTCAACTTTACACTGAAAAAAAGGACTTAGGTGATGAGACTATAAATGTTGTAATTGCATCCACTGATCTTTAGGTGGCATGTCTCTTATGGGTGTAGTTTAAATATTTAACACACATGAAAGTGGATCCTTGTCTGTGCAAAGCTTACCCCACCTTATTTAAAATATTGAATTAATATCCTACTGTATCTCATATCACACCCTATCTGTCCTATCCCTATCACACCCTACCTGTCCTCATCTATTTAAATACATAATTTCTTCCCACTTAATACATGTTTAATATGATCAGGTTTGTTTTGCCTGCAAATATTTCACTACTGTGGTATCATGCATAGCTTGGTTAAAGACAGCAAACAAACACCGCAAGCCTCTGGGATGACAGCTAAGTGTCACTAGCAGCTGACTTACACAGGAGGGTTCAGCTTTGAGTAACTGAGATTGTGTCAAAATATAAAAGGAAAAACTATTTACTGCTATCTGTATTCATTCATTACTGAGTATGACTTGATTAGTAATTTCCTCAAAGAGTAAAAGATCTATTCATTGTTCCAAAAGTATTTATTGCAAATATTGGATTTAATATGTGAGTGGGGGTAAAATAATTTTCCCTGCTTAGATGATTAAGTTTGAAAAAGTTTAAGGTCATATTTCACAACTTTTTCTTTAAAACTTTTCCACAAGTTCCTGGCAGTAAACTAATTTTCTAGAACATTGATTTAAAATAGTGCAGTGACAAGAGGAAAAAAGTGAAAGACTGAAATTTAGAAAATTCAAAAAATGGAAGTTAGTATTTTCTGGTAGCAGCCTTGTTAGCAATTTCTTTCCAACAAAGATGTTATGCTCAGACTTCCTGCAGTTTGCAAAGCAGTAACCTGAAGACGCCCAAAACAGAGGATGTTTTCTTTAACAGTACAAGGTGGAAAGATTTATTTTGAGACCATTAACTGCTGTGAGGCTGGTGGGCAGTCAGTGGTGACTCAGCAGTCTCACCCCACCTTATTCTAGCCCATGCAGCTCTGCAGCCAGCAGCCACCACCTTCTCCCTAAAGGGACCTGAAGCACAGCTGGGACATGAAGAATTGGAATCCTTGTCTTTATTTTATTGCTTCTGAAAAACAACCACCGCCCCAAAAGTGACATTGTATGGCATAACTCAGTTCTGACATGCTGATGATCCTTCACCCTGTCCTAGCCACCGTCTATGACAGTGCAAATCACTAACAGTCTGCTACTGCCATTTGAAAAGAAGCTGTGTCATGCATGCTGTTGTTTTGGGATTAATGGTGATTCTGCAAAGTCCTTCTGCCACATAAAATGCTGTACTATGTCAAGTAAAATTCTCAGATTTAGTTTCATATAAAAAAACCCAAACAAATGTTTAAGTTAAGTGAATGTGTATTCTGTAAACTCATGTTAATAAGCACTGATTCTTATTCCAGAGTCAATGATAGATCAATCTCTGTATCAACCCTTAAAATCAGTTTTGTCCAGAACTAAAGTCTAGATTAGACCTCTATAATCATCTAGATTACACCATTTACCCTCCCTAAAATATGGCATGCCAGAAAATTTCTTTTCCTCTTCAGGAACTTCCTAAGCATTAAAAAAAAAACCACAAAGTAATGCTTTGGGCAGTATCTTGGCAAATTCTGGATATAAATTACCTCTATCTTCTGCTTTTTAAAAGTGCAAATCTCATAGTTGTTGAGTTACTATTGAAAAATATGGCATTTCATCAAATCATGGCTGGCATCAAATCCTGTCCTTCTTGTGTGAAGGAGACCAAGTGGTAAGCAATTTGCATTCCAGTATAGTTATGAATATTTCTAATAGCTTGCCTTTGTACTAGACAAATATGATTTTTAGTATTTCTGTTTTCCCTCAAAGATTTTTACATCATTGTTATTCTTCCCCTCTGAACAGAAACGCTATGGAGGGGGATCACTCATTCATCCCATACCTCACCCTGGCTCTACGCTTTCCCATTTCACCCTTCTAGTCTCTTCCTTTGATCTTCATTTTTACACCAAATTCTGCATTTGCCACAGCCATCACTCAGCATGTACTCAGGTGACAGACGAGTTGCTGTAGATCCCGGGTTCATGAGCACAGCATCAGCCAGCACGGTCACTGCCTTGGCTCTTCTCCTCCCTCATCCTATTTGGCATTTCCTTGTGTGCCCCTTCCACTCTTGCTTAGTTTACACTTGCCATCTGTTCCTGGTTATTTCCTTTTGCACAGTTTTATCACAATATTTTATTCTTGTAGATGGACTGAATTACAGGGGATTTAGGCCATTTTACTCCTACATTAGTACAGCCAAAATATTATAATATTCCAGTTTACAAGTACTACCTTTAAATCATCGCTTGACACACCATAATTTTCCCTAAATGATGCACACAGTCAGGTTCCCTAACCCACAGAAGAAAAAAGGAGGACAGCTAGACAGCAGATAAGATACTAGTAGACTTATTTCAATATTATGCCCTACACAGTATTTATGCCTCTGCCCTAATATCCTTACCACCAGCCTGATCTGAACTAACCCAATCTCACCAGTTTGCGACATATACCACCAACTGTTAAGTCATTAACCCTCAGTAGATATTGAGAGAAAGTATGCAAAGTCACTCATACAAAGCATTGCTCAAATGACAGAAATGCAATGATCCCAAGAACTGTTACCCCCTCTTCCATTTTCTTCAAGTATTTCAGTAGTTATCCAGCACTTCAAGATAATTTTACATTTAATTTACAGTGTGATCACTTTTTGTCCTACAGAAGGCAGAAAAGCTATGGACTGAAAGGAGGAATTGTTGGAGAAAGATGTGGATAGAAAGAAGAATAATGAAATACCAACATCTCTCCTACATATGCTAAAACAGTATCTTAACAGAGAATTTAAAAACACACCAAACACCACACCACAGAAATAGCTCCTCCATAAAGTTACAAACAAGGTTATTGGCATTGCCAGCAGTTAACCAATACCACAATAGTCCTGCACTTGTAACTAATATTAACCTTGGCAAAAAAGAACGTGGTTTTTAGTTTCTAGGTAGTCACAAGTCATGGATCCACAGATAACTCTTGATCCAAGACAAAAAAAATTGTTTTGTAATACTAAACCTGATGAAGATCTGTAAAAACCCCACTTTTGTTTACTTTCTATATAGGAGATCGTTGTATGTGCAACTTTCATCAAATAGCTGTTTCAAATTATTTTGTTATGTAAATATTTCAAAGTCATAATATTTCTTAATTATATATGAGTTTGAGATTTTTAAAGAACTTCTAATAAAGTTTTACAACAGTTTTTAGTCTTTACAGGTTCTCTTCTCTCCATAGTCCTGCCAATCCATTCGAGTCAATGGGTGCTAATTATGTGTTATTGATGTCAAGATTACTCAGGCCTTAGAAGATGTACAAAGATATATGTGGTACATAGACATGTTAGTCATCTGCTCTCAAATTCAAGCTGAGAAAACGCTAGTGCACTGGCTTGTTCAACCACAGAAGTGCTTTGAAATTAATTTCACTGAAGGAAGAAAGCTGCTTTTATTTTATTATATTTTTGTTGGCATATTCCAGATTGTCTTTATCAACAATCAGCTTCTGGCTCCAATTAAACTGGTGATTACTCCCATGATTTCTCCTTGGATGACTGTAGACGTCTATCCACATCAACCACTTCCCAGGTCATTCTAGTTAAGCAACAAAATAGGAGTCTCTAGATTAATAAAACCTGTAAAGTGATTTTCAGTGGATTTAAGGGGGGTAGGGACACCCCAAAAATTCCCCCCAAACCCAACCAAAAAAGGTAAGTATTTCCAGATAGAGATGTATAAAAGATAAATAAAGCAGAGCATTACTTTCATCAATTTTTGCAACAGAGAGTTTCATTAGGGAAGAGCAGAATGGCCCAGTAGTATCCAGAAAGTTGAAGTCAGTCTTAATTCTGTTTAATGCTTTTCATGTTTAAGCTATCTCAATACAAGACCATCATAGTAATGGCAGAACTGGTTATCTCTCCAACCCCCTGGCAGAAACCTGTTATCACCCCAACCCCAGCTCCCTCTAACATTCCCACCCCCCCCCAAACATCACATGAGCAAGAAATTTGTCTTTGGTACAGGTATAGACTCAAAAAAGTCCATATTTTGAGGCAACACTTGTCTAGTTTTCCAGGGAGTTGCAAGAGAGGACTTTACAACAGAGCCCCAGAAGTAACACAGAGTTATTCTCCATCCCCAAGCACTCACTCATGCCCCACTCTGACCCTATTAGTACCGTCATGCTACCCCACAGACCAGATGCTCCTCTAGTGTGCACTAAAAGGAGGCTGGAAGGCTTCATGGGGGAAAACTGTTTTGGCAAGAGGAGACAAGAGAGTAAAGTGTGTAGGGAAGGTGTCCCTGCCCATGGGGGTAGTTGGCCCCTTCCAACCCAAACCATTCCATGATTCTATGACAGATGAGCAAAGGACAAATCATGCACCACCATTATCAACATACACGGTAATGCATCCCAAGCATTTATTTTCTGCTTAGATTTTAAGGAAGGCTTAAGCCATGCTTTCTGTGATTATTAGTGAA